GCCATGCTTTTCTTGGCGGAGACAAAAATCTCAGAGCCAGCACCAATTAACCATCTTAGCTTCCCAAATTACGAGGTAGACTCCAATCTGAGAAAGAACGGGGGAGTTGTGGCTTTTATCCTCAGCAGCCTTTCCTGCTCCAGAGATGTTTCTTTGGAATCAGACCCGAAGGACATTCTGTGACTTCGCCTCAACCTCAACTCCGAAACATCACCCAAATTTATTTGCTGCCTTCATCGCTCTTCCTCGGACTATAGGTGGAATCACCTACTTGAATACCTCGCCGTCAAGATCAACTTGCTGAACATCAATCACCCCGCTTCAGAGGTAGTTCTTCCCAGTGATTGCAATGCTCATAAAGAGCTTCGTTTGGGCTCAAACAAGTCCGATGCAGCAGGTCGTGCAGTCGAAGCATTCGCTCTTACCTAAGGGCTGACCCAGGTGGTGACGAGTCCTACTGTTTTCCCTTGCGTCTCGTCACATGCCAGTAGCCTGCTGGATCTCTTTCTGACCGCGCATCCTGTCCCCTACAGCACTGCTGTCCTGTCCGCCTGGATAACTCAGATCACGGTGCTGTGGAGGTTAGGTTTCAGTTAGAACCCGCTGTAGCTGCAAAAACTCGTACAGGCCGCAAAACTTGGCATTACGGACATGCCGATTGGGAGGGCCTCAGAGATTTCTTCTCTACCTTTCCTTGGAGAGATGTCTGTTTCACTGTCGCGGATGCGTCGGCTGCCTGTTCTCGATAACCGAAATTATCCAAGTCGGAATGGAGGAATACATCCTAGTGAAAGTGCCTAAACCAGGATCGAACGGCTGGTTTAACAAATAGTGTGACAGTGCTCGCTATCAGAAGATCAAGGCACACAGAACCTTCTTACAAAACCCCACTAGAGAACAGGCAACCCGACGTTGAGTCCAGAAACAAATATAACGAAGCGGTTCGCAATGCCAAAAACCAGCACGATATAAAAGTTAGGCACAGGGTAATCTCGCAGCGCAATGGTAGTCGATCTTTCTGAACGCTGAAAAGAATTTCTCACACAGTAGCCTTCCACCACTTACGTGTCAGGATGGAACAATTGTATCCGACTCAAAAGAAGCCAACGCGGAAGTGCTTTCCAAGATCTTTGCTGCCAACTCCACCCCCAAGTACCATCAATTCAAAGGGTTCCCTACACTATGCGGAAGGTAACATTCAAGCATAAGACCGTAAGACAAGTACTCTTGTCGCTCGAAATCAACAAAGCTTTTGGTCCGGACTTGATTCCTGCCATTGTACTGAAGAGGTGTGCAGCGAAGCTTGCTCCAGCTCTTTCTCGTCTCTTCCAGATATCTGATGAATCCGGCACCTTCTCAGAAAACTGCAAATTTGCTCATGTCCAACCCATCCCAAAAAAGGATCTAAGACCTACCCTTACAACTACAGGCCTATAACTCTGCTTTCTGTTATAAGTAAGGTGATGAAGAGGTGCATAAATCGCAAGCTTCTGGACCACCTCGAACGTCACATCTTGATTAGCGACAGGCAGTATGGTTTCCGGCACCAGCGAACCACAGGAGACATCCTAGCTTACGTCACGCAATTGTGGAGCTCATCCAGTCGTATCGTGAGGCTAATGTCGTTGCTCTTCACATCACGAAAGCGTTCGATCAGCTGTTGCATGCTGCCCTCTTAAGCAAACTTCCATCCTATGGCCTCCCAGAAAAGCTTTGAAGATGCGTGGATGACTTTTTCGCTGGACGCAAGATATCCATCGTAATGGACGGGTTCTCCTCTTCATCCCACAACGTCAACGAAGGTGTTCCCCAGGGATCGGTCTTGGCTCCGACACTGTTCCTCTTACATATCAACGACCTTCTTCCCTGCACGATCAACCCAATCCACAGCTTCGCTGATCACAGCACTCTACATGCAGGAATACAGAGTGACAAGACGATCTCAGCCGCTGAGCTGGAAAAAAGAAGACTAGCGACGACTTCCTCTTTGACGAGAGACATGGAGGTTATCACTGCTTGGGGACGCAACAGTCTTGTACAGTTTAATGCTTCAGTACTGTACTTTGACGCACAAAAAGCGTCCTAGCGCTCATCCGGTTTCCATGGATGGCCGAGTTCTGCCAAACAGCCATTAATTTCGGCTGGTCGGAGTCTAGATCACGAAGGACCTGATCTGGCACGAACACATCTAGTCAATAGCGGCAGCTGCTGGGAAAGAGCTAGGCTATTTGTTTAGGGCTAAGAAGTACTTTTCTCCGCATCAACTTCTCATTCTATACAAGGCCCAGATAAGGCGTAGCACCGAGTATTGCTCACACGTTTAGGGTGCTGCCGTCCCGATTACATTATTTATGCTCGATGCTGTCCAGATGAGGGCGGTCCCACTGATCGATGACTTTTCTCTAACAGACTCGGAACCCTTTCGCACGGGCGAGTCGTCGGCGATCTAGCTCTCTTCTACCGCTACACCAACGGGATTTGTTCCTCAGAGCTCTCTTCCATGATGCCTCAGCGCGATGTGCCTGCCAGACAGACCGTGGCGAACTTCGTACATCCAGAGCTGGCCGATACGACCACTCCTTTGTCTCGACGGTGTCGAGATTTTACGAAAAATCTACAAGAGGAAGCCTTTCCCAAATCTACTAACCTTAGGCAATTCAAAACTCGTATTAACAAAATTTCGGCATAATAAAAACAGTATTGAGTTGTAATTTATGATAACTAGTTAGTGTTTAAATATATTTCTTCCTCAAGTGAAAAAAAAATACTATAAATATTTTGTGCCATATTTTCTTGATATCGCTTTTTTTACACTGGTTCACTCATGAATCATTTATATATCATATCGTATATAAATTTTGGATGGATATCCTGAATCAATTACACCTCGAGTTGAACATACAAGAGTATGAAAAAATGGATTCCAAATATGCTGGAATAACAATACTTGCCTACAAATCATTAGCAAGGCAGCGAAACATTGGAACACCATTTCGCTCCTTTATTTTGCATTCAGGCACGCAGCACTAACTTGTCATAGTGAAGTGCCCTATACACATCCAACAGCCACGCGGCCCACTTACGGCGGGATCGGAGGCCGGCCATCGACTAGCTGGGTAGTTATAGTACAGGAAGTGTATTCGCATATACTTAGAAAAATATTTGGATTGATTTTTCGCATAATACCATACAAAAAAACGCTTTTAATACAAAGCACCTAATCAGAATATTTTTTCGGACAGATGCGAAGATCTTCCTGGACAAATGGCAGGTAGCATTTCAACCATCAGAAATATCATCGCAGTCACCGCGGTAGAATGTGTTTTTGTTTTCGTCGGAATGGCTCTTCTACTGGTATTCTTTGAAGTCAGGTAATCGAATATGCCTAAATGTCACAGTTACAGTGATCAGCAACGGAAATCCCACCAAGTTACCATTGAAGGAACCTGATTTTTGACAGGCTATCGCCTTTGATAGCGGAGATAGAGCTCTGTGACGTCATGTCTTCAGGAGTTTGTCCAAGTTCCGCCATGGCTAGCTGAGATTCACTGATAGTAAAAGCCGTGTACAGCATTTTAGCAATATAATTGAGCAACTACTCCACCTTCCACGTTAATCAATGGCAATATTTTCAAATGTCTCAGAAATCACAAATTTGTGGAATACACAATCTTATACAAAATTATGATAATTTTCGAGGCTTCATAAGATGAGTGTGTAGAATAAGGTGGTTTCCATTTGAAAATATCTAATTTCTGGATTTTTTAAATGCAACTGTCGTTTTCTAATTCATAATTCTCCAACTCCAATTTTCCGAGAACATGATAGCCGCAGATCTTCAAGTGATACACTGTACGAGGGTGGTCTGAATAGTTTTCGACCTCAACGTCACTCGTAAATAATTCGTTGTTCATCTGTTGACAGTTACTCACCAAAGTTTCAGCCATTTTGGACGCGCAGTCGTTATGTAATAGTCGTGTGAGTTGATGTGAATGGACAAAAACGAGTATCAATCTCTCATTAAATTTTTGTTTTTCGAAGGCAATACGCCTACGCAAATCAAAGACGAGTTGGACTATATTTTGGGCAGCTGAATTTAAACGTTCGGGACGTCCAAAAACTGAAAACTACGCACGAAAACATCGCCAAAGTTAAGAGAGATAGCAGAGCTTATGAACATATCAAAAGAGCGTGTCTGTCACATATTAAATCAACATTTAGGCATGTGAAAGCTGTCCTCGCGTTGGGTGACGCGTTGGATGACGCTCACGTTTAGACCAAAACATTTTCGAATGAACATTTCCAATGCTATGTTTGCGTAGTTTAGGCGCAATAAATCCGTGTTTTGGCGCCCATTAATTACTGTAGATGAAACTTGGATACAACATTATACGCTCGAAACAAAAATACAGTCCAAACCGTGTACTGCAAAGGGGGAACAGGCTCCAAAAAAAGCAAAAACTGTTTTTTTCGGCTGGGAAAGTGATGGCGACTGTTTTTTGGGATAGTCATGGAGTGATTTTAATCGATTATCGTCAAAAAGGAAAAACCATTACAGGAGCATACGACGCATCATTACTTGACAAGCTGAAGGCAGACTTGGGATAAAAACGGCCACATTTGCAGAAAATACAACCCACCGCCTCACACCTCAGAGGTTGCCATTGTGAAATTCCACGAATTACGATTTGAACAGCTTGACCAACTGCCTTACTCACCAGATCTAGCCCCAAGCGACTTCTGTTTATTACCTCATCTAAAAATTGCGCTCGGAGGACAGAGATTTTCGTCAAATTGAGAGGCAATCATCTCCGTAAACAATTATTTTGCAGAGAAAAACGCTGAGTACTATTTGGACGGGTTACAGAGATGGAAGCATCTCTGGAGGAAGTGTGTTATAGGGAAACTATGTTGAAAAATAAAACAGAAATTCAAGAAAAAATGTCTTGTATCTTTGTTAGGTCGGAAACTTTTCAGACCACCCTCGTATATCATATTACCTTTTGGTGAACTGGTCTCATTATAACCAGATATCGCTCCACAGACTGATATTCTGCCAAACGTGTTCATGTTTAACAATATTTTGCTGCTTATTTCTCCACCAACCTAAAAATAGAGTAAAGGAAATAGACAATCAAAAAATATCCAAACGTCAGAAAAGCATAGTCACAATTTTATTTACTTGAAGCAATACTCAATTATGCACTAAGTTTTCAATTTCTTAAGACCTGTCAGAAACTTTATGTATATCTTGCTGCTACTATTTCAATAGCAACATGACATATCTGCATCGCGGAAAACCATGTCACGATTTCCGTCACTCTGTCTGTCTGTTTCTTGTCACCTATCCAGTAATTATTGGTCACCTTACAAACCGAATTTTGATGCAATTTTTAAACAAGGCTGATGTAAAGAGGACGAAAAACTATTTGTAGGTTTTGGAAAGCGATCCAGTGGTGGGGATATAATAAGGGAAATATGGGAAATTTCAGAAAAAAAAATAAAACGTGCCCAAACTTCGTTTTCCCATCTTTTTGCTTTCAATTTCTGACGATTTTTTGACGTGGTCATAACATTTTCTTTTCGGGGCATCAAAATGTTTAACTTCGTTTTACGGCTTTTTCAGCTTTTTATTCGCGTAAAATGTTCTAAGAGCTGGAATATTAGTCATGGAAGTCAATTTAGTTGACTCGATTTTTTGAATTTGGATGTACAGCTCATAATCCGCATACTAGAATGTCTTCTACAATTGCAATGTTCCAAAAACTTCTTCACCGAAGTACACTGGTCAATTATATGCAGTGAACAGCCGAATCCATCTTGCTTCTTTTTTAATTGATCAACCTTATTACTGCGTTAGTCATATTTAGTGTACAACCAACTTACATTGTCGAAATAGCAATCAATACCATTTGGCGCACATTCCTTTATCTTCTTAACAATATCATCCGTCTTATAGTTGATGAAATGGTCGAATCCAAGCTCGTCGGTCAACCATTTGCCTTTTTCGTCTGACCCAGCTATTCCCACGACCTTACAGCCTTTTATTTTGGCGATCTGACCTACCAAACTACCTACGGCACCCGCTGCACCTGTTACGAAAACCGTTTCTCCTGGTTTGGGTTGGCAGAGCTCCAGGAACCCAAAATAAGCAGTGTTCCTACGAAATATTCAGGGTGTTTCAGAAAGACGTTGTTTCTAGGGTAGAGTTCAAAAATAACAAAAAAATTTCTTATAAATATGGATCCAAAGATGCGAGATATAGAATGATGAAGCTTCATTTACGATATTGAAAAAAAAATAGCGGGTAAAGATACTGACTTAGTATTTTAGACGTTATGTAAGCAAATCAAAATCAATAACCTGGTAGAAAATATTCTCTACGCCACTGGCCTCTTGGAAAAAAGGAAGTGCATTTTATGAAATACCATTTAATTTGTCATAATTTTTTTCTCCTAAAGAATTTTTGGCAGATCACTCGTTTTGGAGATATTTAGTTTTGAATATTTGAGGTAAAATCCTATTCAATTCTTATGAAAACGTTTAGCCTCCCCTCTTCTGAAAACATCATGAAGCTTAATATTAGAAGCAGTATATGACATATGAAGAAAGTTATGGCACCTCACTACAACATTAATTGAATAATACGAGTGTCTTATCCTCAATCAGTAGCGTAGAAACTTACCACTTATTAAACATTTCCTGTGCATCCCACTGGTTTTGCCAGCATATTCATTTTTGCACGTAGATAAAGAAACTTCAAAACACAGAAAATGTTTATTTCAAAAATAAATAAATAATGGTAACAAGAACTTAACACGACAACAACAAAAATTACATTTGATAAAACTTAAGTGGTTATTGGGAACAAAAGATAGTGCTGAATAGATTCTATAAAATTCAACCTAAAGGAGGTGTTGGAAGTGACCACCTGTGGATTTAATACAACCCCGTGCTCTACGCCACAAAGACTGTTTGACTTTTTGGAAAATATGATCAGTGACATTATAGGTGCTAGACCCAGAAAAAATTATTACTTCAACTTCTTTTTCTGGCAACATAATGACTATATTTAGAGCAGGCTGTGCCAACAATGTCAACCGTTTATCTTTGTTAAAATGTTATCTCTTAGTTTTTGGGAAGAAAGCAGTTTCTGAGAGCTGAGTAGTGCAGATATTTTTAATTTCCCTTCCATTTACTAGTGTTAAGCATAACAAAATGCCTCGAGTTCGAAAACGTCCAAATTATCACCATGTTAGCGACTTTGACAATTATTGCCTATCGAGATGTTGGTTTGTCCTATCTCGAAATTGGCCGCCGTGTTAATTGTACTGCAATGACGGTAATGCTTGTGTATCGTGAGTGAATGGAAGGAGGTAGAGTAACACTAAGAAGGTCAACTGGTCCACCGAGGCGTACCGTAGAGGCGTAGAGCGTCAAGGTAGGCGCTACAGACAACTATCTCTACGAGACCGTTTTGCTACTACGCGTCAGATCGCTGACCAATGGTTTGGAGAAGAAGGTAGACCTGTTACTATGCGTACACTCTACTACAACGCCGCATTTGAGCCTTTGGACTTTTTTCATACCGTCTACGGTTAGTGCTACCTCTGACTAACCAGTGGCGGATTTAGAGGGAAGCGCGGGGGCGCCTACCCCCCTAGACATTTGACACTTGCTTTTGTAATCTAACACCATTGTGTTACTTTCTGATACATCATGGCGACAGAGTCATACTAACTATAAGTTATAGCTATAGGAACTGAGCATTGCGATTTTTTGGTATCCTTTGTTATTCCAAACGCTACCCTGTTTGACATCACTTACATTTACAACACAATTCTCACGATTTACTCGTATACAGGGTGTAAAGTTAGTAGTGGATCAACGAAGTCAGGTGATAGAGGTCCTCAAAACATATCGAATGAACCCCTACCTATATGTGTGGTCCGAAATTTTATAGTTCAGGAGATATTTGGAATTTTGGGAAATTTCGAAAAAAAACGGCATAATGAACTTTCAATCGCAATTACAACCAAATTGTTAGGTTTAGGGCTGTGCTTCTTTTTGAGATGAGCTAAATGGCAATGGTTATGTCACTTTTTAACGGAGCTAATTAGAGGGGTGAATCCTCTGGTTACACGTTCCACCAGCCTAACCGCCTGTAGCTCCGTACTATGTTCAGACCGAAAACCGAATTGCACGTCAGGAATCACATGGTGATCTGACGAGAAATTCTCAAGGTGGCGTAGAATCACCTTTTCAGCGAGCTTAGACGCAGCTGACAGCAGGCTAATGGGACAATAATCCTGGGGAAATATCGAACCCACCTTCTTTGGAATCATTATAACTTCAGCGGTCTTCCACGCGGATGGGAAGTACTGAATCCTGAGCATGGCATTGACTATTGCCACGAGATAAGTTAAGGACTTCCGCGAAAGCAGCTTCAGCGCCTTATTAGTGATTTGATCCTCCCCAGGTGCTTTACGCACTTTAAGGTCTTTAATATGACCTTGAATCTCTGCTGGTGTGCAATGCGGGATCTCAGGAGATACCGCTGATGTGCTAAGCAAATCTTCGGTTGAAGAAGCTTCTGAAGAAGAATCTTCTGATGAAGAAAAATCACCAACGAATGCGCAACTGTTACTGACGCCGTTGGCCCTAAAATATCTCCTGACAGATCTTACGATGTGTTGCTCCTCGTTGAGGTCATTATCAAGATCATAGTTGGGAGAGAACTGTCTTTCCATGGCATCGGCGAAAACCTCAACCTTCTCCTCTGTCCTGAAGACAATGCCTCCAGGACCGTGAATGTGTGGGATTTGTTCACGCTTTCCGTTTTTGAGCGACTTCGCCACCTTCCAGAGAGGAATGCTTGAGTCAAGCATCCCCGCCAGAAAGTCGTTCCATTGCTCATTGCGGAATTCATGAAGAGCATTTCTTACTTCATGAACAAGATTCGTCGCTCTGCGAATGTCATCAGGATGACAAGACCTTTTCGCTTGCTTAATTGCAGCTCTTTTATCAGAAATTTTCTGACGAATGTCTGCTGGCAGAAAAGGTCTGCCGTGTCGCTGCACGGGAAGTACAGCTGCACGCTGCAGAGTTTGCTGAACAAAACTTGTCCACTCTGCTTGAGCCGCATCTATACCGTCTCATCATCTATGATCGGTATATTGGGGAACTCTTTGAGGAGCGACTTGTATAGCTCCCAATCAATGCGTTTCCTTGGAGGGATTTCATCCCCCAAGATCTGCTCATTAGCCACTTCCAAAACGACGGGAAGATGATCGCTTGAGATGTCATACATGATTCGAGAAGTCATGCTGTAGCTACAGTTTTTGGATAATGCCAAATCAAGAACGTCAGGTGCCTGAAGGTGATTAAATGGGTGGTGCGTCGGCTCCTCAGTACTATGTTATGTATGAGGTAGCCATTTCGTATCACATGGTTGTACAGTCGGATCCCACTGGTGGAATTCAACCTGGAATGCCATGCTCGATGTTTGCAGTTGAAGTCCCCTGCCACAATAAGTGGACCCGAGTAGTCTAAAAGGACTTCCAGATCCGCCTCTTGCAGCCTGTTACCACACCTGACATACACCGATGTGATTTTTAACGGCACACCTCCCGCCATATTGACCACCACGGAAGCCGCTTCGATGCTCTGCATGTCAGCGTTTGTGCTTCTGTGGTAGTCAATACCGCGTTTCACTAGCACTGCCAAGCCGCCACCCCGTCCAGTCAATCTATCAGCCCGGATAACATCGTAATTCGGGAAAGCTAGACGATCTCCCGGATTAAGTAATGTTTCCTGCAGCAAGGCCACATCTATACTTTCGTCCACAAGAGTTTGATGAAATTCCCGTCTTTTGGGAATGTCCCTTAGACCCAAACAATTCCAAAAAAGAATTTTGATAAATGCAGGCTGTCGTCGACTGTACCTAGCCATTTGCAGGAAAGATCGCCTGCAAAGCCTGTGTTGCGCTAATCAGAGGACCTATGATCTGCTGTAAGGACCTTAGCGCGGTTGCCAGGTCCACATTTTGCGTGTTCGCAGAAGATCCCACAGAGGGGGCAGCCCGGGTTGCATCCCTAGCTGCATCCGCGTAACTTACATTGCGCCTTTGCGCTATCACTTGCAGATTTTTCTTAGGGGCAAATCTGCAAGTTCGGCTATTCGCTGGATGCCCCCCTCCACAGTTCGCGCACTTTCGTTCCTCTTGTTCTGTTTGAGGGCATAAGTGGGTCATGTGGTCAGAGGCACATTTTAGACATTTAGGTGGTGCAGTGCAGTAAGATTGCGCATGCCATATTTTTGGCAGCGGTGACACTGCCCGATGAGTATCGAGTTCTTTTGAACTTCGACTCGGATAGCCAAACCTAGCAGCTCGTGTTCGTTGAACAGCTGCTGAGATTTTTCTATCTTGGGCAGTATGACTACCACCAAAGGCATGGGCACGCCGCCACCGCGTTTCAGACGAATTATGTGCAGGGGGGAATATCCCCTATGTTGCAACTCTTCCTTGATCTCAATTTCCGAAAGTGTCGCATGTACTCCTCTGATTACAGCATGAATGTTCCTCTCGGAGGGTAGAGGGAAAGTGTGATGGGGCACCTCTTCCTCCCTGAAGAGACGAATAATCCTGCGGTAATCATCCTCGGACTTGGGAATTATCCTGATTCCTGCATCGGAAGAATTTGTAATATTTAGATGGGAAGGTACCTGGGTTTTCAGTAGGAGGTCTAATTTAACTGTTAGGTCGGTAATTGTCCGCTGCTGGGCTTCGATGATCATCATCAATCTTTCATTGGTCTTCTTATCATCGTCCTTTTTTGACAGCTCCTGTCGAACCATCTCCAATTCGGCTCTCAGCTCCTCTATGGTCTGCTCCTTCGACTCCATCTCCATTGCCATGGTGGAAGCGCCATTTCCTGACCCCCCTGGGTCAGTTTCCATATTAAATACCTCGGTTATCTCGCTTTTCGTCTAAAAAATTTTCCGGATCGAAATTACGGGACAGCTGCTATCAGTGCCCTATACAGGGCGATTAAGGATGAATGTTGTCCGAGCCTAGTGCACTGAAGTATGGGATATGTTTATGCTTCGGGCAATGGCGCTGGTGCTTAAATAGAGAGATCGGCTGCTTCTATTATATCT